AACTGTATTAACTCACACCCTCGTCACATTTGTTGGTCTGCAAAAAACAAACCTTTACAAGCAGCCATATTTGTACGTTTCGCAGAATAGCGGAAATTTAGCCAGAACAGACATTACGAGACACACCATAAAAAACTACATTCCAGTGCGACTACATTCTAGTTTCATACGGATAAGAGTTTAAAACTTCAGATTTAAAAAAATGCCACATTTTGGTTTCTCATTCAAGGACTCAAGGGCTGCTGTAATGTTGCGGTGTTTGTTTTAATCTGTTGTAAAATATTATTCATAAAAAAGTTTAATTTTTCGGACTATGCTCTCCACTCTCGCAAATGTGGAAGTCTGGAGATCTTCAATTTAGTGGTTTGGGAAGCAATGACAAAAAGATTGCCGGCAGTCCCGCAAAGCACGACGTTTTGTTACTGGTAGGAACCTCCTGGTGACACCAGCCCACATGGGATTATTGTGTCCGTCGTGCAGGGAGGGGCTGGGTGGGGAGGGGAGGGTGGGGAGGGGCTGTGTGGGGAGGGTGGGGCTGGGTGGGGAGGGGAGGGTGGGGAGGGGCTGGGTGGGGAGGGTGGGGAGGGGCTGGGATGGGAGGGTGGGGCTGAGTGGGGATGGGAGGGTGGGGCTGGGTGGGGAGGGGCTGTGTGGGGAGGGGCTGGGTGGGGAGGGGCTGGTCACCCCGTGGTGCCCTTATAAAACTCAACGTTTAACCTACTCACGCCGGCTTGTGCCCGCCCTCACAGTCGGGCATATTTGCGGAATACACCACGCCGCCGTTGACCCTGGCCATTGACCGAGCAACCCAACGTTCATACCAGCTCCCTCCGCAGGAATGTGTTGCTGTGTACTCTACTGACATCTAGTGATTAAACAACGTAAGTGGAATACATTGCAACCATTCCAATCACGCAGTTCAAACTAATTACAGTAAAACCTTGGACTGCGAGTAACATTGGTCTGCGAGTGTTTTGCAAGACGAGCAAATTTTTTGAAATAAATATTAATTTGATAAACGAGCGAGGTCTTGCAATGCGAGTAGTACGTGTATACGCTTTGTCTTCCGAGCGTCACGTGATCACAACTGATATACGAGTGCTTTGGATTACAAACACGTTTCCGGAACGAATTATGCTCGCAAATCAAGGTTTTACTGTATATTTATACTACATCGTAACTAGTCGAGAACCCGTGTGTATTGTGAGTGTTTTGTTTGATATTGTCGGATTTAAAGAATGTTCTGGCTAAAATATGATATTAACAGAAGCAGAAATTGGAAACGTTCGAGCAGTTTCGAATGAACCGTGATAGTCTTCTGTGTTCGTTCCTCTTCGGTGTCGCTATCAGCAGCCAGACAGGAAACGCGATGCAAAGATTCGTTTTAAGAGTGGCACACAGTGGCGGAGTAACGACATTCTCAGCTCAGGGGGCGCGGACATCGGTAGAGGTGGGACGTGGAACGTCAATGAAAGCATGAGTTGAAACCTCGTTTTAAATGTGCGTTCTTGTTCTTTTACACCAGGGGTGGGGAACGTCCGGCCCGCGGGCCTTATACGGCCCGCGGGCCGTATAAGGCCCGCGAAATCATTTGGTGTGGCCCTGCCAAGGCAACCGCAGGCGGGACTCGAAATTCAATAAATCCAGGAGCAAACCTGGAAAAGCAGTTGCGAGTAGCAACATCATCAATACCAGCTAACATCACACGCCTCGCCAAAGAGAAGCAGTTCCAGCCATCACATTAGGGGTGAGTTAATTAAATGTTTGACCAAATATAACGGGCTCATTTTTAAGTTGATAATTGTGTATGGCCCGCGAATGATGGTATAAATATCCAAATGGCCCTTGGCGGAAAAAAGGCTCCCCACCCCCTGGTTTACCACTGTTGTTGAAAACACATCTCACGGTGGTTGTCAAGGGGTCCCCAACTCCTAGCTTTGGCCACCAGGGGGTGAAGTCAACGCACCCCCTGCCCCCACGCTCGTTAATCTAATGGAAGGTAGCATGATACTGGTAGGAACCTCCTGGTTACACCAGCCCACAGGGGATTATTGTGTCCGTCCGTCCGTCGTGCAGGGAGGGGCTGGGTGGGGAGGGGAGGGTGGGGAGGGGCTGTGTGGGGAGGAGCTGGGTGGGGAGGGTGGGGCTGGGTGGGGGAAGGGAGGGGTGGGGCTGGGTGGGGAGGGGCTGGTCACCCCGTGGTGCCCTTATAAAACTCAACGTTCAACCTACTCACGCAGGCTTGTGCCCACCCTCACAGTCGGGCAAATTTTTGTAATACACCACGCTGACCATGGCCATTGACCGAGCAACCCAACGTTCCTACCAGCTCCCTCCACATGAATGTGTTATACAAGCCTTTGTCAATCCTCTGCTTTGATTAAATGCCGCGTCGTTCTCCAGAGCCGGCGTCAGGATCAACGGGGCGGTCACGTGCAGAGCACGCGGCGTGTGGGAAAGTAGGGGCCTAGCTGAGACCAAACGGAAGGGGTGGATAGGCCGGGCTCAGATGCCCTCCCACGGGGCCACCACCACCACGGGGAGCCGAGACGTCCCGGGGTTGACCTGCGGGAAGACACCGAGGAGTCGGGCGAGTCTGGCTCAGACGCTGACACCGTCTGGCTCACAATGCAGTGGATCGATCGCCATCACGAGTGTCCTCGTGCGGTTTGTCGATCATGGTGGGACTTTGAACAGACTTCCCGCTGGCCAATCCAGTTGTCTCTCGCCATTGATGTTGGTCATGTGCAGAAATACAACTCTAGATCGTCAGGTGGTTATTGGGGTTCCTCTAACCCACGGAACCACCAGTCCACCCCGAAACATTGACTGAAGCCACTAGCGGAGCCGATCGAAATTCATAATTTCCATCGGATCATTGGGGTTTATTAGTAATACATCGGAATTTAGCGAACCCCCACTGCCACTGTGTAACACATTATTAGGTGCCAGGGACTCTATGAGATGATAGGACAATAGTCTGAGTCCATAATGGGCAATAAGTAACGGAAAAGCAGTTATAAGTGACTCGCAGAATTGTCCGCATTTGTGTATACAGCACATGAGCGCGATGTTGATCACACGCGGTTCGAATTCGACCCTCGATCGATGGCCGCGTCATCGCCGCACACGCGTCGAATAAAAAGCAAGGGACAAGTCCTGACTTACGAACAACTCCATCATTTTTCATTGCTGGAGGGGTTGCTCCCCCCCTACCTGAAAATCCTGGCTCCGCCATTGACTGATGCCTAATTTAAAGGTCGACATGGAACGTGGTAGGAAAGCGCAGCCGAATGTAATGAGGTTGTGAAGGAGTAGAGAAGGACGGGCTACCGAGACAGACATTGGAGTGGCACCAAGAGGTCGGTAAACAAGAGAAAAAAACCTCGATTGGTGGTGGTGGTGGTGGTGATGATAGGAGAACATTTGGCATTTGCGCCATTATATATAGTGCAAGGCTCTCATGAAGGCGCTGTTTCACAGACACACGATGTTCAACTTCCTTCGCACCGCACGTAGCCAACCGCGCAAAGCGGAGGTCGACGGGGAAGGCAACAAACAAACTTAAAACACGAACATCAGTTCTAAAGACATGCCGCCGGCACACAATGGCCGACTCCCTTCGCACGAAGCCACGTGACCCGCAACGTTCACTGCGAAGAGAACGACGCGGACGATTGCAGCGATAACCAGGGCCGCCCGTCGGAGTCGAACCGCGAAAAGTGCGCTCCCGTTGGGCAATGCCACGACTCCCTAATGGGGCCGTGGGTGCGGTCTGAGCAGGGAGGATGTTATGTGGTTGGTGGAGGAGTTGTGATGAGCGCCAGAAATCCATGGATGTCAACGGAATGCGGTGACATCACTGGAATTGTTAATTAAGCCACCCCTTTAACTTTTCCTTGTACTGTGAATGCGCCATCAGAAGAGTCAATTGCAGGAAAAGAAACGTGAATATTCTTACAATATAAACACACCTTAAAATAAACGTGAATATAATTATAATATAAACACCTTAAACGAAAAGTTAATATTCTTACAATATAAACACACCTTAAACAAATGTGAATATTGTTACAATATAAACACACCTTAAAGAAATATTAATATTATTACAATATAAACACACCTTAAAAGAATCATGAATATTTGTACAATATAAACACACCTTAAAAGAATCATGAATATTTGTACAATATAAACACACCTTAAAAGAATCATGAATATTTGTACAATATAAATACACCTTAAATAAACGTGAATATTCTCACAATATAAACACACCTTAAAGAAACATTAATATTCTTACAATATAAATACACCTTAAAAGAAACGTTTATATTCTTACAATATAAACACACCTTAAATAAACGTGAAAATTCTTACAATATAAACACACCTTAAATAAACTTTAATATTCTTACAATATAAACACACCTTAAGAGAAACGTAAATATTCTTACAATATAAATACACCTTAAATAAACTTTAATATTCTTACAATATAAACACACCTTAAATAAACGTGAATATTCTTACATGCCCGCATGCCCAGCACCTAGCCTGGCACAACAGCTGCGGCCACATCGGACCGGGTCAACGTCAAAACGTCAAGCTCTTTGTGACGTCACACCCCAGTGCCGCACAAGTCACCGCGATGACGTTCACACGACGTCACGCCTCATGAATCGCGCTCCCCAACGTTCGAATGAGGTCATCGCGTCGCCGCAGCCGGTGACGTCAAATTCCCGGCAACGCTGACGGAGTCAATCGGAAGGCAAATCGTCAACATCGCGGTGACGCGTGACGTCATCGCGCGTTGGTTCCAGAGTTGACGTCACGCTCGGGCCTTCCCCCCACCTACACCGCGTGACGTCATCACGCGTCGGTTCCAGGGTGACGTCACGCCCGGGGCCTTCCCCCCACCTACACCGCGTGACGTCATCGCGCGTCGGTTCCAGGGTGACGTCACGCCCGGGGCCTTTCCCGCACCTTCACGGCCGCCGACGCCGCCGCCGCTGCTTCTTGTTACCGCTGCCTCCTCACGACTGAACCGCGGGAACAACAACAACAATAACAACAACAACAACAGCAGCAGCCCCCACAGAGAGCCATGCTGCCCGGCAGCAAGAAGGCCAAGGACGGGCCCAGGCTGCTGTCCGCGAGCTGCCCGGACGAGCGCTGCGGTGCCCGCCTGCTGCTGCCCGCGGCAGGAGGCACAGCGCAGTGCTCCGCCTGCGGCCGCAGCTTCGAGGTGGAGGCCGCCCGGGGCCCCGCGGGCCTCTCCCGCGAGGTTCGACACGCACAGCAGCAGCCGCAGCAGCAGATCCTTACACTCACTCACACTAACCACCATCCCCTCACGAAAGCGTCTCTTCCCCTCCACCCCCGCCATCTCTCTCTTCTCTTCTCTGCGAGTCTCCCGAATTACTCACGCGAGGTGCGACACGCGCTGCCCCCCCCACCTCTCGTGCCCCCACCACCTCTCGTGCCCCCCACCCACCTCTCGTGCCCCCCACCCACCTCTCGTGCCCCCCACCCACCTCTCGTGCCCCCCACCCACCTCTCGTGCCCCCCACCCACCTCTCGTGCCCCCCACCCACCTCTCGTGCCCCCCACCCACCTCTCGTGCCCCCCTCCCCCCCACCTATCGTGCCCCCCCCACCACCTCTCGTGCCCCCCCCGCCTCTCGTGCCCCCCCCCGCCTCTCGTGCCCCCCGCCTCTCGTGCCCCCCCACCTCGCGTGCCCCCCCCACCTCTCGTGCCCCCCCCACCTCTCGTGCCCCCCCCACCTCTCGTGCCCCCCCCCACCTCTCGTGCCCTCCCCCCCACCTCTCGTGCCCCCCCCCCCACCTCTCGTGCCCCCCCCCCCACCTCTCGTGCCCCCCTCAGTCGCTCAGTCTCTTCGCGTCTTCTCACGCATTGGGCTCGGCGTTAGAGCGGCCTCTCGCCCCCTTCCCCCCCCCACCTTAACCCCCCCCCACCTTAACCCCCCCCCCCCACCTTAACCCCCCCCCCACCTTGACCCTCCCCCCCCCCCACCTTGACCCTCACCCCCCCAACCTTAACCCCCCCCCACCGTAACCCCGGCTCTTGTGTGTGTGTGTGCCTTGAGCTCGGCTTCGGCACGTTCACTACACGTCGGGGTCCCGTGTGTGGGTGACGGTGTGGTGCGGGTGTGTGGGGGGTGATGGTGTGTGGGTGATGGTGTGGGGGGTGATGGTGTGGTGCGAGTGTGGGGGGTGATGGTGTGGTGCGGTTGTGTGGGTGATGGTGTGTGGGTGACGGTGTGGTGCGGGTGTGTGGGTGACGGTGTGGTGCGGGTGTGGGGGTGATGGTGTGGTGCGAGTGTGGGGGGTGATGGTGTGGTCCGGTTGTGTGGGTTATGGTGTGTGGGTGACGGTGTGGTGGCGGGTGTGTGGGTGACGGTGTGGTGCGGGTGTGGGGGTGACGGTGTGGTGTGGGTGTGTGGGTGATGGTGTGGTGCGAGTGTGTGGGTTATGGTGTGTGGGTGACGGTGTGGTGTGGGGGTGACGGTGTGGTGCGGGTGTGTGGGTGACGGTGTGGTGCGTGGGTGATGGTGTGGGTGTTTCCACCCTCTCCGTCTCCTGCAGAAGTCTCTCTCCACACACTCGCAGGGCGTGAGAGCGTCTTACGCGTCGAGGGCGTGAGACTTGTTATTGAGGTTTTGTTTCCGATGTGTGTGTGGGGGTGTGTGTGTGTGTGTATGCGCATACTCGCGTGTTTCCTGTGCGGTGCGTGAGAGGGCGGTACTCTTGTGTATTTCACAAACCCCGTACAGTACACACACACATATCTGTACTATAGATATGTATTCAGTGGAGCAAAACTATCCATAGCCCACCCCACCCCTCCACCGGTCAACCTGAACACGACCGACAATTTTTGTCCAGCTTTCACTCATCCAGAGTCGCGCCGATGTCGCCCAGCTGCCATTTGCCAACACTATCCACGCCGCAGATGTGTCACTCGCGCGCATTGCCCATCTCACGCACGCGTCGTGGGAGAATTGTCTTCAATGTGTGGAGGAGCAAACTGGGGGTGGGGGTCATTTAAGCCATGCCTAGTAGTCATGGGGGGAGGGGGGTTGAGGTTTCGTGTCAAGTCACCAAATGAAAATCATGTCCAGTGTCAGAATTGTTACTTAGACTGGAGGAATCCGATGAGCTATGAAGCGTTTTCACAGATGCCCAGTATGGGCGGGTCAGAAAGTAGCCATTGGATCCCACGTCAAGTAGCCATTGGAACCAATATCAAGGTAGCTATGGGGTCTTATATCTAATAGCCAATGGTACCCATGTCACGTTGCTAAGGGAGTTCATATCAAGTTACCAATGAGACAAATGTCAAGTAACCAAGATAGTTCTAACTTAAAATCTAAAGATTGCAAGTGCAAAATCCTTTTTGGCATTCTACTTGGCCCATCATTTCATTGGGGGTAAATAAAAGGAGCATTGTGTGAGACGTCAACAGTGTCTTGTGTTGTGAAAGATTTGCAATGGGAATGTAGAATTTTTCAAAGCTGGCTCTGGGCACCCAAATGAGATGCGTGGCCCCCCCCCCCCCCCCCCCGTGCTCGTTTGGTCGGTCACAATCTACTTGTTGACACTTTGATTTTCATTTTTCAAACTGTTTCCCTGCTCAAATGAGTTCTGGAAGGTGCTCGTGTCCCTTGGCAGCCTTGTGCCAGTATTGCACGTAACTCATGGGTATGGGAAATCATGAATTTTTCAGTTTGATAGGCTTGCTGGTTCACGATGTTTTGCCCATAACATTTCATGACAAGCGAGACAATGGTGTCTCGTTACATGATGAACTATGCTTATAACAACACGATCAATGCATCGTCTCGTTACTGTTCCTTCATATAATGTAGCATAATGTAGTGTCACTTAAATGTCTTGTTTGGGGACATCTCTAGCAACCCACGCTATTATTACAAAGCACCACAGCCCGTTCTAATATCACCCCACAATTATACCCTTACGTTGCATCACGTCAAGGTCTGCTTGATCTCAAGTGGATCCGAAGCACTTGTGTGGCAGTTTCATGGCATGTCATATATTCCCGTTCAAATGTGCATATAAACAGGGCAAAAGTGATGCGTTCATATTGAGAACTCTTCCTAAAGTTGATTGCTTTCTGGATTAACAAATCTACTCATCCAAAGTTGAGAGGGCATGCTTTTAAACAAACTGCCATATCACATTGCAATACAAACCATACGTATGATTTTCATTAATAATGACCTTTATATAGCCAGGAAAGCCTAATTGATTCCTCTTCTTGATAAGAGCCCTACATTATGAAGTTCAAATGTTTCCATTAGAGTTTGGCACGTGGAGCGAAACCAGAGTACTCAGAGAAGATCCATGCAAACGAAGGTATAACTCTTAACTGCTCCACACAGATTTAATAATCTATTGCTGTAATGTCATATCCTGGCCACTTCACAGTTCAAGTTTACTAAATGTGTTATTCACACGTAATATCCCATCCCAAGTACCAACCAGCTTAATGCTGTTTAGCTTCTAAGTTATGATGAGATTTGTCTCACTATGGTTGATTGGGTTGGATTTAAAAAAGGTGTGTTAACCTTTACATTGATTCCACATCCAGATTATTATAGTGAAGAAGTAGCTTGTTGGTCGTGGCCAGATGAATGTATGTGTTATTGTTTGTCTGTTGGAATGCGTACATGTGTTTTATGTGGGCTCGACTTGATTCAAACTTGCAATTAGGAGGAAAATTTAGTGAATATTTGTCAATGGATTGAGTCATGGTAAATGTGGCTTCATTCACAAACAAGAAATATTACATGGTTAGGAGAGGAAGTGAAATAATTGAATGCATAGTGTGGGTGGGAGGAAGTGATATGTACAGTTCTTCAGCATCAGAGTGCTTGTTTATGATGACTGTAACAAGAGTGGACAAACCGTGGCTTGCAGGTGACATGTGGCTCCCAGCCAGTTTAAGTGCATGCCACTTTATAGATACGCAGCCGATTTTTCACTTGTCAATTTCGGTTTGTTTAAAACAGCAAATCTCTTTGGAAGAGGGAGCAGCCCAGAGCACTTTCCCCCTGGGAGCTGAGCCAGCGATGACTACTCCCGAGGTGCTCCTGCAGATTTTAAAATTCGAAAACTCCACAGCCAAGCGGTCGTATGAACATTCCACACACGATCAACCCACGTGACCTACTCGGCACATGTCTTGTGCGACTCTCGGCCATATGAGGATTTTGGTTTGTGGCTCCTCGGGTGAGGTAGTTTGGTTGCCCCTCATATATAAGACGCGTTGGCGCTTCATAGACAAAACTTCAATGTTAACCATGGAAATAAAATTGTGATGAGGTGCGACATCGTGAGTGGTGACTGCACAATAGCACCATGCAGGCTCGGGTGTTAACGCTAGGTGACATCAGCATCTCTACTCGGGGTGTAACAATGCATAGATGAATATTGATTATGCTCGCACTGTATACATACACACACATCAACCTCATGCTATATACACCTGTAAGAATCGGTCTTTGTTCGACTAGTCTATGTTGTGTGCAGTGGATTGATGGTGGCTCCTTCCAACTTCTAGAGGCTACAACACACACCGCAGTGTTAATTAAAAGAGGAATTTACTCGTGAATAGAATTGTGAGCTCACATCATGGAGGTTAACACACCTAGTCTTTACGCGTATGAACCCTGACGTGACAAACTAGCTGAATGCATCTCTATACTGACAGTGGGTGTCATATGTCGAAGTCAAATATAAAAGGTGGATTAGAGAATCAGAATATTTAAAAGCTGCCCTTGATACTCTTTGGTTTTTTCGTAAAGTCACGTAGGTAAAAAATTAAAATAAATGAAATCACGACGTTTCGGGCGCAACACAAGCGTCCTTCTTCTGAAACGTCGTGATTTAATTTATTTTAATTTTTTACCTACGTGACTTTACCGAAAAAAACCAAAGAGTATGAATCCTTGCAGTCACGAAAACTTCAAATCTAGAATTATCTGCCCTTGGAATGCATTTAACTATATTTTATCCTGACCTTGGCTTTGTATGTCATAATTGTCTGACTTGTCCTTCATGAGGGAGCTATGATGCACTGAAGTACTCTAACATGGTTATGAATACTTTTGCTTTACTGCGGCTTGCCGGGCATCGATTGTTCCTCTTTGAAAGGCAGACCAAGTGCCAACCGTCTTAAATCGCTGTTGATGTGGAAAGAAAATGTCAACTACTCAATCAATGCTATTCGCGTATGTATAATTCAGTTTCTTTCCTTACATTTATCGATCTTCAAGGTGCACGTTGTCTAAATTGCTGTAAATGCGCCAATATCGTTAGAGCTCAGAAGTGCATTTGGGCCTGGTTAGCACTGAAATGGGTGACCACCGTGGCTTGCCAGGTGTAGTAGGTTGCGAGGTGGCCATAGTGTGGGAGTGGCAAGTATTACCTCCCCTGTTATGCTTTTGTGTTCTCTGGGTATCTCCGGTTTGCTACCACTTTAAAAAAAAAACACTCGTCAATAGAATGATCCAAGCATCCCAAGGTAGGGCCTGCCTATAAAACAGTCTTAAGACTCATTGAGTCTTTTCCTGGGTAAGTAATTGGTAATATTATTATATTCCTAGGAAGACGCATATTAAAAACACGTATTCATGTATCTGTATAAGCCATGAAAGATCAACTTCGTAATCTCACAACACTTTGTGCTTGTACCTTTTTCCTGCAGTGTCAACTTGTTAAGCCTGTTAGAAATTCTGACGTCGTGCCTAGTATGTGCGTTGTGTTTAAGTAGTCTTCCCTCCGTCATATAATTTTCAGGAAGGCATCAGTTGCAGGGTCCACCACACATTTGAAACCACTGGGGTTGACAGCATGGTGATGGGTGTTTTAACATTTGTATATTGTCGGGGGCCGCCAGTGGCCAGCGGGCGTTTTATTGAAGGACACTGGTCAAAAGTTATTGGCTTTCTGGGAGCTGAAGTTGTTCCCTTCACCAATGTGCAACACAGCAACATGTGTCCATGTGCCACCGAGCACACCAACACCTCACGAAAGGTAGTACATGTGAAAACCAAGGTTACATGTGCGTACACCACATGAATGCTTATTACCTATCCTGTATGTAGTTTTATTTGGTGTATTTATATTAAATGCTTCTTAGATAAGATTATTGAACATCATCCTCCATTCATTGTGTGTGGAGGATCTGACGTTTAGTACAGCTACTAGCCCTAATGCGTTGTTTAGTTTAATACATGTCTTAACCTCCACCACAGCCTGTGTGGAGAATATTATATTTAGTCCAGTTACCAAAACAGAGCTGGAACGGTTTGACTCCCTGCCGATGTGATATATTGTATCCAGTCTTGGTTTGCGATTCTACTGTGGAATCCAAAAGGTACTCCCAGTTATGGACAATGGAAATGTTGTTCATAATATGTGATGTTATGATATTCCACCCTCTCATCATCTCGTCTGGATTGAGAGGAGAGTACAGACTTAATATGTGCTTCCTGCTTTTGTAATGTCTTGTTGATACCTTCACCTTCTGTAAATTTTGTCTTTTTTTTGGTTACATTTTATTAATCTAATTCTGCGTCCATTACATTGTCTCCCTGTGCCATGTCGGTCCATGCAATGCTAAAATTAGAATATCATTAACGTTAGTTTTTGCATAGCCTAATAGTACATGTTTACGGCAAGCACTTGGCTTACGTATTGGTTTGGATCATATATCGATTTTCACCAATGCACAATTTCATTGTTCCAATTCTAATTAACATGCAGTGCCACTTCTGAAGTACTCCCTCATTATATCCTCAGGAAACCAGAGACCAGACCCTAATCCTCCCCTCGTCTTTATACCTTGATGTAATATTAAATGACGCGATCAACACCTGATGTATTAATTCTGTTTGGGCGGTGGTGGGGGGGGGGGGTATTATGAGAGTTATAATTTTCTAATTAGTTTTCACTTTTGACACGAATTTTCGAATGTTCGAGAAACCGTTTTCTGGCATTGCCAGGTGTCTGGAGTTTTTAAATCCTTTATATTAAGTTCACTTGCTTGCGCGCTTACGACCGTGTAAATCTTTCGGTCGTTTTTTAACCCACTTCCCGTGATCCAATCGAGCTGATATTTTTGCACACAGACTCGTTGTGCGTGACAATTTATTTTCGTGAAATTTTTTTTCGTAACTTTACACTTTTTAGGAAGAAAAAAAATTATATTTAATTACCAATTGCTTAATGGTGGCAGGCAATCATCTGACCCATAGGTGGCAGCCATCTCAAGCCAGAGGACGAGAGGACTCTAGCCGCCCGTTTCAAAGACCAATGTGGGCTGGGTTGTGGCCCATTGAACACGCATATAAAGGATTTATTGTGAAAAACTTTGTTTTTACGGGTAAATTTTTTATTCACCCAATCTGTATATAGTCTGGCTCAGTGGCAATCCAGTGGGTTGACTGGATTGCCACTGAGAAGCATTCGAGTCACCTTATATGGGCTTGCCCTGCACATGCTTTTTTGGTATGGATCACATGAGTGAATTATGGCTGCGCTGTGTGTGCGTATGTTCCTTCCCCGGCGGAGATGCGCTTGCGTAAGAAGAGCTAATTTTGTGTTTAATCTCAGACTGTATATGCTAGAAGAAGCTTGCAACAGATCTCTGCAAAAAAAAAAAACATTGACTTTATAACAAGCTACAATACAGTTCTAATCTTTAAGCAGGTGGTCTCCAATTGATGAATGTGTGAATACAAATCCTGGTCAAGTGTTGTCTTGGATCACCACCAACATCATCCTTCTGAAGATGGTAAAATGAGCACCACCTGCTGTTGAGGCTTACACCCCACTCGCATAGAAGTCAACAGTGGCTGTCCCAGGGATAGATTTCGGAATGTAGACTTTGCTCCACTTGTTCATCTCCACCAATGGAGATGAGCACCACTCATTGAGCATTTGAGAATGGAGGCACGGTTAATTTTTCACCCTCATCGTTATCATCATCATCAATTTTAGACTGTGTTCATCACATTCTCTTTTTCCACTTACCAACATCGATACTATTCAATTAATGAACAAAAAACCAAGGGTCATAATTATAATAAAAAAAACAGCAATCATTGTAACCAACGGTTTAGGCTTTTGATCGGACTTTTTTTTTTGTTTTTCACTCCATTTGTGAACACTGTCAGCGATTGACAAACAAACAGAAATAAAGGGCCAGGCATCATCATCATCATATTCAACAACATCTTTTCCACCAAGCTCCAGTATTACGGCGTTGTGTTCTTCACATTTTTTCTGTATATGCAAATTCGGAGAATGACTCAAATAAGCAAATATGAATGGCCAGTCATCATCATTCATAGGGTTGCTATGATATTGTTGTTCATGATTATTTATGAATGTTTATTTCAGGATGATGATGATTTCTACATCAGTTTCCCATCACCGTTTATTTAATTGTAAATATTTTTGTATCATTTTTGTGCTTTGCGGGATTACCAGTCATAATAAAGATGACTTAAAACGTTATTCAACTGCAGTTCACTAAATATCTTGTAACCATAAGTATTTGATCATCGCATCTCGACAATCTACAATGCTTATGGTACACATGCTATTAATAAAGCATTAAACGACTAAGTAATTACAGTGGCTCCTAAAATTAGTATGTCATATAACCACAGTGCCATCAGTTACTCTGAGAGACATTTAGAAAAAAAAGACAAATGGCCGATGGAATTTAATTTTGAACTTACAAGCATGATGCTTTAGTTATTCAATTATTTTGTGTAAGAAACTACAATATTGCAATCATAAAATATATGACAATCCCGATAGTGATATTTTGCAGAACAGCCGATACAGTTATCGTGGATTTTATATCGTACGATAAAGCGTAGTACTCTATCTCTATACCGTCGCTGCACCGTTAATTTGTCGTGGCCACCTTCGAGAGGCGACTCGCAATGAACACTCAGTGCCGCTCTCGCTCCACAGCAGGTCACCCTTCAGAACCTCCTCCGCAACTTCCTGCTGACGGGCGGCAGCGGCACGGGCGGACTGGGCGGCAGGAAGCCCATCGCCCCGCTCGCCCGCGTCGACGGCCTCTGCAACTACCAGTGCAAGCTGCTGTCGCCCATCCTGACGGTGCACGGCATGGACCGCGCGACGGGGCGCGCGCGCCTGCTCAGCGACATGGGCCAGGGCAGCACGTTCGACTGCGCCGTGCTCGGCGACCGCGGCTTCCGGATCGAGGCGGAGAACCTGGCCGTGGAGGGATACGGCAGGGACCGCTCCGGCAGCATGGTGTACCTACGTGTGCGTTGTCTCCCCCCCCCCCCCCACGGCCGCCAACACCGTCGCCCCCACCTCGACATCCTCGTAGTTTTCCGCAAGCGTGTGCCTCGTGTTAATGCTCGGACAGAGGTCGCAACTGGGTACCCGATACCCGTACCCTACCCGATAACCGGCTACCCGTACCCGGCCGGGTACGGGTACGGGTAGCCGTTTGAGACCCTGGTGCGGTCGGGTACGGGTAGGCCGTGAGTCACTGGTGAGTAACTGTTTGTCACTCATTTCCCAACATCTTGTCTCTTCTCACAATTCAAGTTCCTAGAATCAACCCACCCGCGCCTGCAACATGGCTTCATCCCAGAGGTTGCAATCAGGTACCCGATACCCGTACCCTACTCGGCCGGGTATGGGTAGGGTACGGGTACGGCCGGGTACGGGTACGGGTACCCGTTTGCGACCCTGGTGCGGCAGGGTACGGGTAAGGAATCAAAACCCGTTTGCGACCTCTGTGCTCTAAGTACGAGTACTTGGATGATATTGGTCTGGAAAGTCGATAGGCTGTTGAACTAAGATACAGAACTGAGTTCTGCTTCTATATGACTTAATCCATAATGCTTCCCAATAACGCTTGACTTTACAATGAAATGTTTTTTTAGCATTGATCAGGGCCCCATAGTTTAGATGTTTGCTCTTGTCAATAATAAATTGCAACCGAGAAGCGTTTGTTTAGCAAATCTGACTATCCATGAGACCCAGAAGGTTGAAACCGATCCAGAGTTTTCTTGCTTAAACAAATGCTGTTGGATAATGTTGGTCTAATAAGGCAATAAATAAAACTGTTGGATGAAGTATGTTTTGATTTAAACGTGGAGACACAGAAGGGAGTTGTGCTTGTGTAAAGTAGGAGCGTGCTCATTGTAGATGTTAACCATGTAATGATTTACCTCCCTCTGGGAATTCGATAAATCATCATGGTGAGAGTTTCCGTGTACCTTCTGAGTATACTTTCTAAGAGTGTACCCCCTCCCCCTCCCTTGCAGGAGACTCTTCGTTTGATCGCTGTTGCTAACGGGGACGAGGAGCGGCTGGTGCCCATCCACGCGGAGATGGACGGACACTGCCTGGTGCACGCAGTGTCACGTGCACTCGTCGGCTGGGAGCTCTTCTGGCACGCGCTCCGGCAGAACCTCAAGGTGAGCGTGCTGCTCTTAATTGTTTCCTCTTCTCTCTTTTCTTATCCTGTTCCAATTGTGCTGTCGGAATCTTCACCCCCCCCCCACTCTGAAGGCAAACAATACATTTCATATTTTTGCATCTTCAGAAATATGCAATCGAGAGTTGGCGCATCCCCAGCTCTCTCAGCCTCCCACTTCCAGCCCCCCCTACCCCCCTCCCTTGCCCCGCCCCCCTCTCTTACCTATATAACCTCTTACCACGGCATCTCTCTCCCACTGCAGCAAAACATTTTCTTGCTGTGGTTTTCCCACCTGATTATGATTGCTTGTGTTGCAATCGAAACGTCGTGATTAAATGTATTTTATTTTATACCTGCGTGACTTTACCGAAAGAACCAAAGAGTATGACTGTAGATTGATACCTTCATGGCGTTATCGCCTGTGACACCACGATGGGATGTGATGCCTCCGACAGGCGCACTTCAGGGACAACCTGGAGCGCTACAAGGAGCTGTTCCGCGAGTTTGTGGACATGTGCGAGTGGCAGGACATCGTGAGCGAGTGCGACCCGGCGTTTGTTCCGCCCGAGGGAGTGCCTCTGGGCCTGCGCAATATCCATATTTTTGGACTCGCAAACGTGTTGCGACGGCCGATACTTCTGCTCGACTCCTGGGAGGGCATGCAGAGCCCCGGGGACTACTCTGCCACCTTCCTGCCCGGTAATGCGCGCTTGCACAACGGCAACAACCACAACAGCCCACCGTGCGCCGCCAAGCGACGGTGATGTCACCGCAGTGCTTGTGCCAGGCTAGGCACACTTTGAGGCCACGTACAGTGCCGAAGGCTTGTTGGCAGAAGCTCACGGGACAGATGCAGGTGTTATGGATTAACTAACTGGCTAAGATGGTTGATGCTCCACATGTGCTCTGCACTAAACTAAACTTTGAACTAAATAATTTTTCTTTTACCAGATAACACCCACTGAGCTATATAGCTCTTTTTCAGAAGTTGCCTGGCCACAAATGATAGCTCAACGAAGTGGCTTATCACGTGGAAATTTATGGCATGTTTTTAAACGTGGAGGGGAAAAACTGGAGGACCCGGAGAAAAATCCACGCGACCACGGGGAGAACACGCAACCTCCACATATACAGGCGTCAGGGTCTGGATCGAACCTACAACCGCCTGGCGAGGTAGTTAACATCTCACCACCGTGATACACTGTCCCAGCTAGTTGTGTTTTAGCTGCCCGGCACTGTTAGTTGTGAGCATCGCTGCAATGCCAGCCTGCTTCTGGAGGGCAGTGGCATTATCTACGGGCCCCAGTGTCAAATGCAACGTTTTGAACATTAATTAATGGGAGATTGTATCTTTGTTCCTTTTATCATTATTAAAGTAGAAGGATTCATGATAAAAAATATATATATTGGCTTTTCGACGTATGTCCTAGCCTATTAAATGAACACAATCCCTAACTTCTCATCTTGATACACCAATGCTTGCTCTGACATACATTCCACATGTGGATGTCAGTGGTTACATTAACTTTAATCCCTACTATAAACAATAACACTAGCTTCTGCTTGAGCAGGGATTTTGCAAACACTGCAGTGTTGTGTCTACCGCAGAAAGGTACCTTACTCAAAGATCAAAACTTAAGACTCAACTTCTCATGACTCATAAAGCAAGTGCTGTTGACGAGCACCAGTTGAGACTGGCATGGCACAAGACCGCTTGGTTTGGCTCGGACAATGCCCGTCGACATTTAGTTACACCCTTTTACCAGATTCTCATTTAAGGAGCGGTCAGCTTAACCCTAAGGGAGGTGTGAGGTAGGTTTGGATACCCCGTGTCGCTGGTTTCGCCAGTTGCCTTTAAACCCCAGGTCACTAGGGTCTTGTCAACTGGTTCAGAGTGTGGTGCATTAACTACCACACAATTACTCTTCACAATACGCACACAGCTCAAAGATCACACGGTCTGTAGTCATGCAGACTCCTCGGGCAAGCGCTGTTAGTGAGCACCTATACTAAGGCACGAAAATTCATGAAACTATTTACACATCGTTGTATTTAAGCTTTGGACCCAGGTTACTGGGTTCAGAGTACAGTGCTGTAACCACTGCTCCACCAACACCCATCACAAGCCCATATATGCACATACGATAAAGGCATTTAAAAAAATTATTTTATGCTTATTCTATTATCTCTGTTAGATATTCTTTTCTGCCATTCTAGCCATAGTTGTCATATCCATGCCTGTTCCTAACCCACAGCTTATACCCTAGCCAATATTTATGTAGTTCAGTCACTTCCTCATCACTATTTTTATTGCTACTACCGTGGTCTTATTAACTTTATTTCTGGATACTTCCACCCATGTCAATGATGTGGTCTGACATACGTACTGTTTTGTTTTGTCTATGCTATGTTTAACTTTAATGTTTCAGGACGAAACATTCTCTTTTTATAGCACAGCTTTAAAGCATACTTTCCATTCCCTCATTTGCCAAGTTTCTATAACCTTGCTTAATTTAAGGTGTTACAGGAGTTTGGGCCTGTGTTTATCACCTTCCAATAAAAAAAACTCCCCCTCCTCCGACCTCAACCCTCCACTCTTCCGTCGTCATACCTCCCTCCCCCCTCTCGTCGTCCAGGCCTCGTCGAAGAGCGGCTGTGCCGTGGCCACGACGGCCGGCTGAACGAGCCGCTGTGCGTGGCGTGGAGCAGCGCCGACCGCAACCACTACATCCCGCTCGTGGGCGTGCTGGGCCGCCCGCCGCCCCGCCTGCCGGGCCTCGTCGTGCCCAAGGCGTGGGGCGTGCCGCAGGCCCTGCTGCGCCGCTACGTCGACTTCGACGAGGACGGCTCGTGCACCGTGGGCGGCAGCCGCCCTCTCCGGGGTCGCTACGTGCGTCGCCTCGTCGCCGCCATGGAGGAGGTGTACGCCAAGCGGCACGGAGGCCTCTGCCCGTCGCTCGTGGCCGACGCACGCCACTACGTGTACCGGCGGCCCGACGAGGCGGACGTGGCAGGAGCGACGGCGCTGGCGCTGCGCGAGCGCCGCCTCTACCGTTGCCTGTCGTGCGAGGCGCTGCTGGAGTTCGACGTCCCCGCGGAGTGGCTGGCGCCCGGCGGGCGGCTGTACGAGCTGGCGCGACGCTCGCACGGGCTGCTGCGCACCGACCGCTCCTACAGCTTTCCGCATTTCGGCGTCGTGTGCTCGTACGTGGACGGGGAGGGGGAGGGCGGCGGCTGCCTGGAAGCCGACTACGGCGAGAGCGAGCTGCCGCGCTGCGCCTGGTGCGGGGCCAGTGCCGTGCGCAAGGTGGTGTCGGGCGACGGTGCGGTGCTCTACAAGAACGGCGACCGCACGCGGACGACTTCCGGGGGCGGCACCGGCAGCGTGGGCCGCTGCGACTGCGGCTTCAAACACTTCTGGGACGGCGGCGAGTACGACAGGCTGCCTGAGGAGCTGCCCGTGACTCTGGAGTGGGGCGGAAGCACGGTGCACGAGATCGTCTACTGGTTCCAGCATGAGAGTGACGCGTCGCTGAACAGCAACGCCTACGCGGAGGCGACCAAGCTCGTGGCCAAGCACTTTCCCGGCGAGTTCGGCAGCGAGCTGCTCGTGCAGAAGGTTGTCAATGCCATCCTGCGGCAGACCGCCAAGAGGAACGCTGACGGGCAGCGGCGGCAGCCCGTGTCGCTGAGCGATGGTGGTGGTCAACGCAGCTGCGGGGCGGTGGGCGATGTCGGAGTGGAACGGACTGAGGATGGGCAGCCCGAGGAGGGCAGCATGGCCGTCAGCTGCGAGAGCCCTAGAGTGCAAGCGGATGCGGAGCAAGCACCGCCATCCAAGATCATCCTGACGGGGCCTAAGGGGCGGACGCTGCACCGGGAGGAGCTGACGATGAGCCAAGCGGAGCAGGACGTGGCCAGGAGGATATCGGACAAGGCTCCCTCCGCTCAGCGCAAAGCTACTGACCGTATCAAGCAGCAGCAGCAACAGCAGCAACAGCAGCAGAATCATCAGCAGCAAAAAGGCAAGGAGATTAAGGAGCCATTGCCCACGGAGGTCACGACCACGGCGGCGCTGGACGAAGCTCCTCATGGCGGTGCGAGTTCCGGAAAGACGGCGGTCCGCCCGGAACCGGAGAAGAAAATCCGGGCGGCCACGGCGGACGGGAGACAAGCGACGCTCACGCTGCTTCCCAGCACCACGTTCGCCGAGCTGCGCGCCAGCGTGGAGCGGGAGTTCGGCATCCCCGTGACGGAGCAGCGCATCCGGTGAGACTCCCAGCGAGGCGGCATTCAGCTTGAGGAGCACAGATTAAGGAAGTGATGGGCATTCTTTGACTGCCTAAGTATCATTCATAGAATACCGGTTTATTTCACGGGTGTTTAAAGATTCAAGGGATTCTAAATTTGAAGCTTTCGTGACTGCAAGGATTCATATTCTTAGGTTTTTTCGGTAAAGTCACGTAAAGTCATCGTGACTTTACCAAAAAAACCTAAGAATATTCAAGGGATTCCAAGCATTGCTAAAATGTCACGCTAACCCAGTTGGAAACTTTTTTGAGGGAATAGAAATTTTAACATGGCAATCTGCATCTGAGTGGTGATTCCTGCAGGTGGTGAAATTGTGAGATAAAGTGAATCAACGCCTTAAATGCGCTGGAGCTCATTGCATCTCGATAGATAACTGGGGTTGAGCCTGATTCGTAAGTGGATGGGTGACCACCAGTGCTTGACAAATGATATAGCTGTGAGGCTGTGAAGAGGGCCAGGAGCTGAAGGTGGTGAGTGTCACTCTCTTATGTGTGGTAGGTTTATTTAAAAAATGCATATATCATGAACACAAACTGGAAGACGTCTATGAAGGCAATACAAATGACAAGCCAACATCCTCTTGAGCTGAATAACAATACGCCAGGTAAAGCGGTGCTCACCTGTTAACCATGGCAAAGGATGATGGGTTGTGCAGAACTGTGAACTACCAAACCTTATGCCCTGTGAGCTGGCCAGTGGATGGCAGTATAGCAAGTGGGTTCATAAAAGCCATCCGTGCAGAACTTTACATGCCGAACCATTCGCATGCGTATATGCGCTCAGGATACTCCAGTTTCCTCCCACGTGACAGGTGCTCATTCGTGGAAATCATCAGACATCCCTCATGCAGAACGCCGGGTAAATAATTCTTAACGCGGAAGCGTGATGTTTTTGCAGGAATACACTCGCCAAAAAATGATGACGTTTCCCCACTCCCCCCCCTCCCCAATCCGTAACTGACCGCAGATTCGGTTTCCCGCCCCGCGAGCTGAGCGCGCCGGCTCCGGGCGACGAGGACAGGCCGCTGCCGCTGCAGCACGGCGAACGCATCTCCGTGGAGTCCCTCGCGCCGGCGGGAGACTCGCAGGGCCCCCGGGGCGGCCCCGTCGGGCAGCCCGAGCGGCGCGACCTCACCGCGGGCGGGGGCCCCGCTCGTCCGCCCTCGCCGGCCGGCAGGGCCAGGCCGGCTGCGTCGGCCGATGAGCTCGACGATCAGGAAAACATCGACCTGGAAATGTCGTCGTTGCACCTCCTCGTCACCCTCACCGGTGAGCTCCTGCGAGTTTTGCGGCGGCCACCAAAAGTGATAAGGCAAACGAAAGTGAAAAGGGTGGACAAGGCGAAGGGCCAGTGAGATCGTGAAGTTACGGGTCAGGCTTTGTTCTGATTAACGAGTATGGTAAGGAGTAGGACTGGCAACTGGGTCTGGTTGTCTTGTATGGTTATTTAGTTAGGACTTGCGGTAGGAATAGGGTCTGCTTGGCTAGTTTGGTTATGAGTAGGACTGGTGTCTCTTCTGCCAGTGCGGTTGGGGTTACGAGTTTGGTTGGCTGATGTATTCAGTTGTTTCGAGTCAGGGGTCAGGATAGTGTCTGGTTGACTAGTTTTGTTCGGGTTATGAATTTGGCAGGACACAAGACTTAGAAAGGTGATGATGGCTGATGGACGAGACTGGTGATGTAATGTCAGCCAAAGGAGAGAACACGCTTCATGGAGAGACTAGATCAGTGCATGTTCAGGAGCGATGTCGATTGTGGCATTACAAGACCATTATGGATGGTGATGGCATGGCGAGGACTTCATCACACGTGTGAGAGATCATTCTTGATTTGAAGCTTTAGTGACTGCAGGAATCCATACACTCTGGTTCTTTCGGTAAAGGCACGTAGATTGAAAACATAATAAAAGAACACGACGTTTCGGTCGCAACACAAGCGTCCGTCATCACCTAATGTCCGTCATCACCTGATGACGGACGCTTGTGTTGCGACCGAAACGTCTACGTGACTTTACCGCAAGAACCAGAGAGTGTGTGGGAGATCATGATTGAGGATGATGATTAATAGGAGTAGTGTCTGGTTGGCAAATGTGGTTGCTCATCAGGCTATGGTTGAAGTTAGTGGGTAGGGTCTGTTTGGCTAATGTGGTTAGAATAAGACGTGAGACTAGTGTTTGGTTGATGTGCTTTGGGTAGGGTGTTGGATATAGCTCACGTTTGATTGGCTAGTGTGACCATGGTTTTACGTCTACCTGTTTTATTTTCAAATGGGGCTGATGTGGTTTGGTTTGCTGTGTGCTCTGCCCTCTTGCTGTTTATTGAACCCCAGCCATTCCCAAGTATGTCATTCTCACATTCTCACTTTCCTTTATTTTTTCACTTCTGGTGTGTGCGGTACTTTGTAGATGAACCCTGTGGTCATGAACTCAGCGTCACTCCTTCTTTGCTGCTGAAACTCTTCCCCACCCCGGTCATCCACACTGCCGACTCCCCCTACCTCTGCACACAGTCTTTCATTCTATCCTCCCCCTCCAAAAAAACACATTTTAGTATTTAAATTGCCGAACATGGTTGGCGGGACATGTGCATTTACTCAATAATTGTTCTGCTCTTGCTGCTGCTGCTGCGGTTGCTGCTTTGTTTTACAGGGCAGGACATGTGGTCGTACGTGAAGAAGATGCCTTACCTCTTTCAGCAAGGAGGGGTTTTCTACAAGAAAGTGCGGAATGACATTGGTGCGTGCCCCGGTTGCCTGTGGCTGTTGTGCAGTCACGCACTGCAGTGGGAACGTGAATGTATAAGCTTAGTGATGAAACAAAGATGCTATTAGAATCTGAATATTTATACTGGAGGAATATGATTTGATTGAATGCTATTTTTCACAGATCTCCAGTAGGGGTGGGTAAGAACGATACAACAACAAACAATACAAAAAACATGATAGTAGTGCAGAATACAAGAAAGGTAAACAAATCACCCAAATACATACAAATAAAACTAAACCATCCCCATCCTACCAGGCAAAGTGGCAATGTTATGGTTAGTGGAGTGTGCCGTGAATCTGGTGACATAGTTGGATTCCCAGCCAGGGTTGATGTCAGTGGAAAATGATTTCTGAACTGATCCCCGGACCCCCGCACCCTCGGCAAACCAACACTGACCAGTGTAGTGAAGTATGGTCAAACAATCCTTATGCAGGATACGGCATGAGGAGGCCTTTATCTGGCAGTGCATTAACAAAGGGCTACTCATGTTTTTCAGGGGTATCCCTAGCAACTGCGAAATCATGCCCTTTTTAATGATTTTCAAAGAAATTTGAAAGCATTAATGCATTATGTTTGTCTGTAACATGGATTCCCGATGACTTTCGTAAAAGATGAGCCAAAATGAATTACACTTTAGCATAAAGGTGCGTCGTTGTTATGGACCTGCCCTTTAGAAAACCAGACAAATCCAATGCACCGTTTATTTGAATTCAATTAAAATCGATTCAGCGGTTGTGCTTTGATTAATTTGGCTGCCGTGCAACTCGAAAGGTAACATTTATTTTCGCTAATTAAACACCTCCGAGGACAAATGCACCCTGGGAATTCACACGTGCGTACGGGTTTTATTCCTCCCTTTTGGGGGCGGGAGTATGATGGACCCTTGACGCGAGCGGCGATAATGGCAACAGGGCTGGTCGATGGCAAGCACGTGACGCTGCCGGAGCTGCCGGGGCGGACCCTCGTGTACAACGGCGACGCCGACCGCCTGGAGCTATGCCTGGAGCCCGGCGGCCACTTCCCCGTGGGGCCCGAGCTGGATCGTGACGTCGCGGCCGCCCTGGAGACTCGAGCGCGCCACGACCGCACGCCCACGTGGAGCAGGCACGTTGCGCACCCCTCTGCGTACCGCAGAGGTCGCAATCGGGTACCCGATACCCGTACCCTACCCGATAACCAGCTACCCGTACCCGGCCGGGTATCGGGTACGGGTACCCGTTTGCGACCCTGGTGCGGCCGGGTACGGGTACGAGTAGGCCGTGAGTCACTGTTGAGTAACCGTTTGTCACTCATTTCCCAACGTCTTGTCTCTTCTCACAATTCAAGTTTCTAGAATCAACCCACCCGCGCCTGCAACATGGCTTCATCCCAGAGGTCGGTACCGATACCCGTACCCTACCCGATACCCGGCTACCCGTACCCGGCCGGGTATCAGGTACAGGTACCCGTTTGCGACCTGGGTACGGGTATGGGTAAGGAATCAAAACCCGTTTGCGACCTCTGGCGTGCCGCAACACATGGGGCACGATTGAGCGACGCGATTGACGATGCCCGGTTCTCACCCATTTGCTCCAGTGACTCGCTGGCTCGCTCACCGGCGGTCAGTCACCTTATTATCTTATTACTCTTCTTTTGCTACTAACATGGTTACTTTTCTCGTGTACTTCGCTCGTTGATTCTTCCACCGATGTTGAGGGCTCGGTCTACCGGGCTATTTCATCTTGTCCTCACCACACTGTAGGTCACAACAACACATTCACCCACTTATCACGCACCCACTTGCTCACCCATTCACTAACCCTCTCATTCACCCACCCACTCATCCACCCACTCACCAAACTGCAGGCACTTTCTGCTTCTTTGCTCGCACGATTTGATTTCAGAAAACGCTGAAGCAGACAATACCGCAAAAATACTGATACGAATTTGCGTGCAAGGTGGGAAGGCATAGACCTACATCATGACCTAGCAACATCATATGGAACTACATTTCTACGTGCAATCTGGTTTCCTTCCACACGGACAAATTATCACAAAGGAATTGACACGATAAATGTTATCAGCCGATAATGTGACACTCGCAGTGCCAGCTATTGTCTTCAAAGTCTTAACACCGCCTCCTCAAACCCCAATCTGTCCCACCCTCTGTCCACCACCGTGCAACTTCCTGTCACGAACCCTCAGGAGTCGCGAGGGTAGCCCTTCGCATCACGGAGGACAGGGCGGCGGGAGTAGCGGCGGCGGCGGCATGAAGCTTGGCAGCGGCGGAGCCATCGTTCGCCGCTCAGAGCAGCAGCACAACGTGCATGCGTTCCACGGCAAGGGGCACAGCCTGGTGTCGGGACCGGCGCATTCTCCCCCAGAGCGGTCGGGCACGATGCACCAAGCGTCCGGCGCGTCGTCGCCCAGAGCGACCGGCAGTGGGGGGGGCCCCTCATCCTCGTCATCGTCACCCGCGCGAGGTTTGTTTGGGACGATGCCGGGTGGCACGGGATGCTAATATTGTGGCGGACCACGGAGCAGAAGCCGGCACGTCTGAGACTCTCGGTATTAATTCAGGCATCGGCTCTTATTAAAAACTTGACTCTCAGGTGTCGCGATTGATGATCAAAACACAATCATGAGTCACTGTACAATATAAAATATACGTTGCTATTTGTTTAATTATGCCTTTATCCATCTGTGAGGACCAAACATTTTGGTTTGATTGACATGTAACGAACACTTTATCCGGATAAAAATGATAATTCTCTAATGCAGGGGAGATATCACCGCTTTCCGTATATACTTTGTTACATGATATGAAGCTGATCTACCACAATTGCAGTAAGGTTATGAAACGACAGCAAGAGGTATTGCTGAATTAATTCCACGCTTTTGTATTTTGTGTTTGTCGTTCAGCCCCAAGGGAGTCGGAGGGGCGCGCGGTCCGGGTCGGCCCAGGGTTCACAACGCACCACACCGACGCGACCTCACAAGCGGACGGTAGCGCCACGACCGGCAGCTCCATCTCCCAGGCCGCCATCGGGGAGCAGCGACAGCGCCTGCTCGAGATGGTCTCCGCGATCCAGGCGTCGGTAGAGAAGCACATGATGAACAGGGACGAGCAAATTCCACCGGGCTCTCGGCGGTCACCCTCTCCTCATTCTCCGGCCCAGGCTAGCGTGACCGGCGCTCCCCTCGGCAACAGCAGCGGCGGCGGTGGCGGCACGAGCGTGCGGCAGGAGCGCACGGAGCGAAAATCGGGAAACCTCGCCCAGCCGGAAGTTCTCAACAAACTGTCGGAGCCTTTGGGAAAAGCAGCCACTCAAGTTGGTGAAGATGAGGACGACCACGACGATAACGACGACGAAGTTACTGAGGTTGAAAGCGATGGTAAAGGTTGCAGCGACGGGCGAGACGGCGAAAGTTCGCTCGCCGGCGTGGCGGTGGAGACTCCGATGGAGGTGATGGACCCTCACCCGGCGGTGGCGGTGGCAGAGGAGGAGGAGGAGGTGGTGACAAGACCCAGGCAGACAGATCGGAAGATGGAGGCGGATGAGGAACCGGAAGAGATGGAGAGCCAGGAAGCAGGCAGTGCCGCTGTGCCAACGCACATGGAATTCACGTAAAAACGGAACACAAGCGAGCGACACGCATTATATATCTCTCTACTATACATATGCTATATATATGGAAAACAAAATTACAGCGCACGAGTGTGTGAGGTGGCTGTTGTGTTGGATGCTGTTAACAAGCGTGTATAGTGCAGTGAGTGCCTTCTGCATGACTTTAATCTTCCCGAGAATCTTGAGGATCAGAACCTTGCAGCTGGATAGCCATAGACTTCGATGCATTTTCATAATTTCCGAACGAGGCTTAAATACCAAGACGAGACTAGACCCGTCGCTGCTTGACTGACCGCTTCACTACCATTAAATCTCATTTAAATTTTGTAAATTAAGTGTTATTTTGGTTTACATAAATAAACTTGTATTTTTTTTTTTCATTACGTTTCTTTTTCCCCGATTGGTTTACTTTTGAATCACTAACTTATTTTGAGCTCTATCGTCCGATTTAGGAACTTGCACGGAGAAGTTGCTATTCGTTACGTTCCCGGCACTGCAGTGTGTTGGCGTGTCTCGTCATTTGGTGAGTTACAGGGTATGTGCGATTATCCCCCCCCCACCCTCCCATGCCTCCTCCCCAATCCTTCCCCCCATTCCTGCGCTTTGAATGCAAACGTTGCGGATGTTGCACATTATTTAAACGATCCTAAGTGCGCACTTTCACCCAAGCTTGCGTTGTGGTGCTCCGGACACTGTGCGCGATCTCTCCCGACATTGTTTTCTGCCGATTGCTTCACGTTTGTGGCCACGCGGGTTCTCACATGATGCAAGTTTGAACAGCCTCGGCCAGCTTTCACGACGCAGGTTCTGGGATGAGACGTTGCAATCGGAAGGTTACCCGTGAATTCATCATCATAGCCATCGACCTTTATAAATGGCACCTTGGTAACGTGTTGGAATTGAATTGCACACGCACGCTGATGCTATTCACTAAATCCGTTTTTTTTTGCCAAATCGCGAAGTTTCTTCTCGTCTTCCATTTACAGTGCTGAGCTTGGTGGTGGAAATTACACATCCCTATGTCAGGGGCAAGTCTATCCATAGGTCAACCACTCCGGATTTACCCTCCACATTTAGAAACATGCCTTTAGAATAATTGGCTGCTATAAATTTCCACGTGATGAGCCACTTCGTTGAGCTATCATTTGTGGCCAGGTCACGTCTGAAAAAGCTTTCTAGCTCAGTGGGCTTCACCTCGACAAAACAATGTTGTTTTTACTGTTGACTTCATCACTAAGTGCATAGCTATTGTTTTGATCCTGGGAGGACGATGGGCTGAGCCAACTGCTCACTAAGATTTGAACTCACAACCTTCCGATTGCAAGCCACTCGTATTTCCGCATGGCCATCTGGCCAACTTCACTGAGCAAATTTGGTAACCAAAACCATTTTCAATATTAGTTGTACGTTGGCTGAGAGAAGTAATAGCTTCCACCCTTGTGGCATGCCTCGTAATCATGGTCCAATTTGGACCTGCCAAAAGAAAATCTGCTTGCGTTAAACTGGCTTGGCCGTGCGAACCCCAAAAATGCCAAAATGTGTTGGTGTGCGACTTATTCTAACGAGTGTAATAAAGCGGACCTAAATGGAATAGCATATAATAAAATTGAATAACTGTAATTGCATACTTCTAGCACTTAATATTGCTGTTAAGGTGTTTTTGCTATTTACACTGAGTCATGCTCATCTGGGACAAGCGACTTCCACCTAGCCACATGACAAACCGGTGCAATGCATAGTCATGTGCTTTTTTTTTCCACATACGGGCTCTGGGATTTTTATTTTTGTGGACGTGCGACTTCCTGTCGAACTTACCTTTTTTAAACGCTAAAATAATTCCCCAGACACTTTCCCCATTGTCATTAACGAGTAAATGTTTAAGGCTCAAGTATTTGTAGCTTCCGGAAACATTTTGGTGTCTTAAGTTCAGAACATTATATTAAATACTTCCCAAACAGTTTATTGCGTGACTTCTGTGCCCATAAAAAAAACAACACTCAATGAAATGGGGGATAAGCACCAAGCAGTGAAATAATAACGATTGAGTTATGAAATATTAGCATGGTAAGACACATGTCCATCGTGAAACAAAAGCAACGTTTTGCAATTGATGCAGGGTCGATGTGGCTAACTGTGATTGCTGCTTGTCTGAGAGTAGATTTAAGCCGGTGTTGGTACGTGAAAATGAAGGCCATCAGTCTCGCCAACATTTCAGGCACTCATTTTCAAGGCACCTCCCAAAAGATTTCCTCATTTGTGTCATTAAAAAAGTCCCATTTTCCCCCCTGGTCCACCCATGACAACACTTTTCACGTCTTCCAACCTTTTTGTGCGCCAGATTTTGCAAAGGTACCTTTAATTTTGGTCGACCTGATGAGACACATTTGCATGAACCGCAGGAAAATTTTCTTTTCTCGTGAACTGGAGTGGCTGATCGCAAATCCAAGTGCCACCCAAGTGTTTATTTTTTGGTGCCTTCCAGAAGAGGGAGCCATTCATAAGGATAAACCTGGAGGATTTTTTCATTTCGCTGCCACATAGGCAAAAGTGACAAAGTTGTTCATGGCACAGCGTGGCAGATTTTTTTTAAAAGAGTGTACGGGACCGGTGGCATCGCGCGCACGCTGACTTGTGGAATACGATCGCTGGCACGAACTCGGCTTAAATAGAGTCGTGGGTGGTGGACACATTCAGTCTTCTGTGACATTAAAACTAAAAAAACAATGCTCACGGATGCGACGATGCTTTACTCCTTGCTGGCTCCTTGTGCGCTCCTTGTGTGTGATTTCAAAAGGCATGGTGTTTTCACAGCTACGCTTGTGCTTTGTCGGTGATTCTCCAATGTACTGTATCTCACTGTACTGTATATGCAATAAGAGGGTACATTTACCCCTTACTAAAATCTGAAACGTTTGCGTGGGAGAGTGCTGAAATTACTTTGCCTGGCGAGGAAATGTAAAAAATGCAGTGATATAACATTGTCTGTAAAAGTGATCATTTATTTGCAAAATGCACTGGGTTATTAATTTGAAACGATCAGAATACACACTGGTTTATCGGTGCCCGCAAGCAGCATTTGGCTGTATGACCAGATTGGTTCTATGTGAGATGCATGTTGTAACTTTCTCCGTTTGTCCACAGAATCTGTTTTACTAAGTGTGTACATAAATTATGCCCTGCCAAGATTTGTTCAAGGCTTTGTGATTAAGGATTAGTATTGAACTGTCCGAACTTAAAGTCCATTAACACGTGATACCATATGTAGCAAAGGCAACTTCATTGGGTCTACTATTAAGCGATGCAAACAATAAGCTTTTATTACATTGCTAAATAAGCAATGGATTCAATGCAATATATCTGTACATTTTGGCATTGAGAGCATCTGCATTAAAAGCAAATCTAGCATTGGAGGTGCACATTTGGTTTAAATCGAGAAAAGATCACCTTAGTTTCAGGTTGTTTTATATAAATGTTAACACAGCCATATAAGTGTGTTCAATATAAATATATGTTCTGTGCTGCATTATCATCACTGCACCTTCCAGTTCTATGGTATTTAAACACCATGAAACGCAGCTCCATTCCACCCTGGTGGTGCACTCATCCACTTGCTGGTGCTGCTTAAAAAGGGGACCTCCCCTCCTCATCCCCTCCTCCCCCCATCAAACAAAAATAAAACCAAGAGGCTCTCATCTTGTAGCGGCACACTTTGGTGCTGTGTGCCACAGGCAGCCCCATACGAATTGGACGCTGCTTTAATCGAAGGCTTCTTCACAGTTGCAGTCGGCAATGCCTTTGTTGTACCACTTCACACGCTATGAAATACTTTATTCCACTCATGTGAGTTTTTGATATTCACATCGCAGTTCCATGGGAAGGTGCTGGAAAGGGGGCGCCTGTACATGTAAACACTATTTAAGTGGTCGAAAACGCCTTGATATGTAGAGGACCGCGGAACTTCGAGGAGGAGGTGAATTTGGCGCTGGCTCGCCATGTGGCTGCTGCCTTTCCCGCTCGTCTGCGGTTCCTCGTCACGCCTCTGAGTCTTTCTCTCTCTCTCCCTTTGAAAGCAACGAGCAAATTTCTGTGCGGCAACGCGTTACAAGTTGAAATTATGATGATGATATTTACAAAATCATGCGGGCCTAAAACATTAATATTGCACGGCAGGGTCCTGCGTAGGTTTTTGTTTTGCAACGTGACTAATACGTGACAATTACGAAAGTGATGAAAATGGCTTGAAATGGGTATGAAATAAAGCGTCACCACATAGTTACAACATTCAGGCACAACAAAAAAGTTGGTATATAATTTTGAATCATGTAATAAGACTTTTAATGGCTCCTTAAATACCTGAGCTTTTGGAGTTATAATTAACACAGTACACTATGTTCTCTGGATTGTAAGGCAACACAAACCTTGTACCGGTGTCAAATCCTAGTCGTACACACGCCTGGATTTTGCGACGTAACCCCTACTTTTGTTTTAAAATATGGATGGGGTGTGGAGGGTGTGTATCTTATAATCCGAAGAATATCGTACATTTTAACTTGTCAATGAAATGGAACCCCCACCCGCGCAGCGGCGCACAAGCAACCTGGGTATGCGCGTGTGCGCGCGCATACAAGATGAGAGAGCTATTGGTGTTTGTTAGTTGTGTCTAATCGTGGATCGGAGGAGCGTGGAAGACAATTCATCTTGGCCGTTATAACGCGGAGCAAATCTTCCGCTTGTGCCAAGACGCCAGCACGAAAAGGTCTCAACGCAAAGTAAAAATCATCACGATCCCTTGTCCGCCTTCCAATGTCGGTGTCAGGCTTTTTCAACCCCGCGGTTTTCACGTCCCGCATTCGGCGAGAAAATGTGCGGTTCAAGCAATTTGACATTTGAGTGAAGGTCACTGGTAACAATTTCAGCCCCGTGGCGTGGTGCATTGTAGGATTAAAAAAACAACAACGTGTCATGAATTCGCAACCCAAATGATGAATAGCTGTAATATTGTACAGACACGCCGAGGCCGTGTTCCCTGGATTTTTCGATACGAGTTTGATGGTTCATTAATGAGAGAAAATAAAACAGGAATTATTAGGATTACTTTTCGTGGCATCACCAGTCCCCCTTTCATTTGGTCGTGATTTTATTGTATTTTTTTTCTCTTACAAATAACTGCTGCAAACTCTCATAGTACACCTCGGAACGCTGCATTTGTGCGTATCTACACGAGCAATTTCGTCTAAGACATTCTACATATTGCACGTATTATGCTGATTACCAGCACTACCAATTATACAATTTAACTCGTACCGTAATTTTCTCTGGTAAGATTGGAAATGTTAAACTACGCCGTGATGAAAAGAGTCTAGGAATTGAGCCCCACCACGTTTGAGGGTAAGAAAAGCTTTTGATTTGCACATCGTTACACGGGTTGTCGGGGTTTGTTTAATTACCGTGTGACTACTTTTGATGTTTTTTTTATTACATTTACATCTTGGTGCCTTTATGGAAGTCCATTCGTGCGTTTCATAATTTGAATTGTCGATGCTACTACATTTAGTGTGCCCCCTTATTTCCCTCCTAACAATACAACTCAACATATTCGTCAGTGATATAAACCGTGACCTTGAGCGGAAACGTATAATTGGCGACCGAATACGTAATTTTACCTTTAAGGCCACGGTGTTATTTATTGATGACCGTGTTGAGATGTAGTTGTTAATTGTGCTTGTGCGCCATTGCCAACGCAGCAGCATCAACAAATAATTCCCCCTATTGGAGTGGATCAGTGGCAGAGTGGTTAGCGCACTGCACTATGAGCCCACCAACTTGAGTTCGATTCCCGAGTCACGGCTAACATCATTGTCGACTGGTGTCCTGAACCGGGCCTGTGCTCGCCCTTTCACAAACGCACACTGAAAGCTGCGTTTCGTGAAATATGGTCAAACAACCCTCGTGTATTTGTGTGACCATGCTTCACTCTCCGCTGCTTTCAGCGGGTTCTGTATACAACATTAAAATCACATAAAAATCATTACATACGTGGGGCATGGTTTATTGCACCAGTCCCGTACAATGTACTTTATAAATATACCTCGAGGCGTTCATTAGTTGTAAATGCTCTTCGTGCGGGCGTTAATTAAAATGTATAACCACACGTGCATGGCTACAGTCTGTCGATACACATGACTTGATGAGGGCTAACGATCCGTTCATACGACGCCTTCTGCATAATGTATGCGTGTTGGCTTTGTGATTGGTAAGCAACATCACGCTAAGAGCTCCACCAACCTGGGTTAGACTCCTGGATAATGGTGCAGAGCCTCCCTGAATATGAATACCTTAATCCTTTTTTTTCATAATAATGATTATGCCCTTAGATTGTTCCTGGGAAGCCATCGTTGCGTTTCAAGACTTGCTTGCCACGAGTGCTCTGCATTGGGATGTTAAACTCATCCCATCTCATGCATGTTTGGCATCTAGCGGTGAGCTTCCCCCTAGGTCGACTCAGCCTAAAGTTGGTATGGCTGATGCGGCAGCGGTGGTGGTGTGAACTTCAGCGCTGGGAAGACAAAGGCGGCCCATAGCCATATCTCATCATGGCAAGAACTATGTATTGGATAGCTTATACAGAGTGCTTCAAAAAATATGTTAACACTTCTGAGAATTTGCAACAACACCACAAGAAATGCGCCTCCGGGCTCTGGAGACCACCTGGAGAAGATTCCAGGCCACGTGTTGACAACGATGGCGAACAAATAGAGATTATTTTACTTTGAAGCTATTAACATACATTTGTTATCATGTTACAGTGTATTATCCGTTCTTTTTCCATTTAAAAAATCGATAGTCCCAAAAAGTGCTAACAATCTTTGAAGCACGCTGTACTCCGTAGGTTGTGCTTGGTTGTGCTGTGTCGCTCTCTGCTGTGTTTTCGGGTTGTACCACGTGTTGTTCGGCATGTACCACGTGTATGTTTTGGGCATGATGTCCGACGTTTCGTTCCAAATGCTTCTTCAGGACCTGACGGGAGCAGATCACAGTTCTCCCACGATTACGTTAAAGACATCGCTGTATAAAAGGTGTCGGACAACGTTATGATCACGCGTTATGAAGGTGCTAAAAACAACACGCGGTTACAGCTAAACACACACACACACACACCGAGAGAGCAAGTTGAATCGGTTGTCGAGAGTTGGTTTCAACAAATCAACTTGCACCAGTCACATGCTTACAAGGTTCTTGGCAACTGCTTTTGCAAACAGTCCTCTGGGGAGCAAGGCTGCGCACGCAGGTTGGTGGGTTTGACACGCGCTTAGGCATGCCTCTGCTCGGCAATATATAATATAAGTCATTTAAGGAACGCAAAATCATGCTCATATCATCTCCAATGCGCATCGCTGTCCGGTCACACTGTCTTCATTAAATGCATCTTAAGGTTTTCTCTTGGAAGTGGTTGGAACTCAAATTTTTTGTTCTTGACTTTGGTCTTTCTTATTAGCCCCCACTACTGCTTTCGGGCGTCCCTTTGTGGAATAAACACGCGCACTCACCTGCTTTAAATGAAGGGAAAGTGTTGATCTATGGCCTCATGAAGGGCGCTGTGCCCTAGCTCTCATTCCAGCAACCAGGGGAACATTGGAGTGGTTCCAGCGCGCATCTGCTGCTCGCATTCCAAAGCAACGCATCGGTACCCACCCTAAGCACGTGGTTATTATTTTGCTGCTGCTGCTGACTAACCCTCATCCTCCACCTAAAAGCGCTCCCAGCTTCAACCTTCGCGAATCCCAATCTCCCCCACATCTCCCAATCTCCCCCACATCTCCCAATCTTCCCCACTTCTCCCAATCTCCCCCACCTCTCCCAATCTCCCCCACAACTCCCAATCTCCCCCACAACTCCCAATCTCCCCCACATCTCCCAATCTCTCCCACATCTCCCAATCTCCCCCACATCTCCCAATTTCCCCCACATCTCCCATTCTCCCCCACGTCTCCCAATCTCCCCCTCATCTCCCAATCTCCCCCACATCTCCCAATCTCCCCCACATCTCCCAATCTCCCCCTCATCTCCCAATCTCCCCCACATCTCCCAATTTCATCTCTCAATCTCCCCCACATCTCCCAATCTCCCCCTCATCTCCCAATCTCCCCCACATCTCCCAATCTCCCCCACATCTCCCAATCTCCCA